CTTCTTATTGACGCGTTAATTAAAATTCCGAGCAGTCTTGTTTCTTATTGTTAAACTGTCGGTGTTCGCGTCAACTCCGAGTACTGCGAAGAAAAAAAAAAAAAAAACAAAAAGAAAAAAAAGTCCACGCGAATATGCTAAAACACGACAAATACAAAAACATTAGCTCGTTAGAAACGCAGCAACACGTTGTGATGAATGTGACATATCATTTGCATTTCTTTGCTATTCCTTTTTCACTCAATTTGCATAATTGAGATTTGCGTGTCGACGGTTTGCGGTTTTGCGAAAGAGAACTCTTCTAAGAACTTTCCTTTCCCAAGTCGACGTAATTTTGTGAAATTTTATCGTGTGACGGAGCCTTCTGTTTTTCAAGTCGTAGAAGTTTGAACGATGGAGAAATATCTAAACTCGTGTCTTTCCAATAAAGTCAGTTTGCGATTTCAATTTTTTTCGCAAGGGATCGTTTCGCAAGAGAAAGAATAAAATAAAATAAAATTAGAAACAAGAAAAAAATTATTGCTTTTACACTTACAAATTACAAATTAAATTGTCAGTAACTACTGAGATGTTATTATTGACGTACGTTTTTAAGTTATATAATGAGAATCGAAACGAAAGCGCAAAATGGTGGGGCAGGAGCGAAAGGATTTCGAACTGGCCGAATCAAACGCGATAAATCGATTCACCTCGTCGAAATCACATCTGGGGATTAGTAGTCCGGTATCATACAATTAATCCCGTGGAAGCAGTAGATAGCACAGTGACAGAGGATTCGCCGTGTACAATAATAATTCCCTATGTTCCGTAGATATGATATTCCCAGTCTCTCGGAGCGGGGCGTGTGCTTCGTCGTAATATCGGCAAAGTTACAATTGCAGCGATGAAATCAGCGACTTTTCTGACGCAAACGATAAGGCACTACGGTAACCAGCGCGATTAGCCCGATTATGATTCACGAGGAACGCGAGCAGCAGGGCTGCAGCTCCTCGTTTGTTATGCGCGCGAAACAAGATAACGTGTGCGGCGGAAAAAAAGGGTGAAAAAGAAAACAACGGAGTTCTTTACAAAGAGCGAAGAGTAATTGGAAAAATGTAATTAGCGATGGGTTGACGTGTAAAGAAAAAAAAAAAAAAAAAAAAAAACTACGGCCCATTACTTTCGTAGATTAATTACCCGGGTCCTCTGAACGAGACATTACTTACAATGAAATATGTGTTTCGCGAGACGTGTCGCGTTAATTCATTGATTCAATTATGTCCATCATTTTCTTTCAGGTCGTTTCAACCGTGTTCGAAGTAATGAAGTAAAATGTATCACTTACGATTAGCAGTCACTGGTCCAATTTTATTGCTTAGTAAATTAAAAAAA